AGGTAAGGATGTGTCAGGATGTGTCAGTACAGGTAAGGATGTGTCAGTAAAGGTAAGGATGTGTCAGGATGTGTCAGTACAGGTAAGGATGTGTCAGTACAGGTAAGGATGTGTCAGGATGTGTCAGTACAGGTAAGGATGTGTCAGGATGTGTCAGTACAGGTAAGGATGTTTCTGTAGAGGTAACAATGTTGCTGTAAGCAACAAACAACAAACAAACATACAAACGAAAAAACAACCAACAAACAAACAAACAATTAATGACAAAACAAAACACCCAATCCTGTCATGGCGAATGTAACACTTATGATGGCAGCGAACTCATTTACACATGTGATTTAAATTACTGTGTACGGTTTGTTTGTTGGAGTTTTTTGCGTGCTCTTTTTTGCATTTTGTATAAATTTCATTTTTTTGCTATGCTAACGTTTTGAATTCGCGACTTGAATCGTCCAGTGTTATGATTGCTTTTCAATGAAGTAGCGTCTCTCTCAACATTTCACGAACGACTTGAATTGACAATCGCAAATCCAGGTCGCGACCGAAAGTAACAACGGTCGACTTGTTGTTCTGTCTCCTTCCCCTTTTTCTGTTTTCGTGGGTACCGTTTATAACTTGTTCTCTGTTGACACTACATGTATATTCTGTACCTGGAAATTACTTCAAAAAATGGGAAACTGTTCTTCTCAAATTCAAGTTGATGTATTGATTATTATTACCCGCTGTCAACTTTACCCAAACAATCTTACTCGACCCGTTGCTTTTTGATCTACACTTTTTTTACTGGCTTTACTAGAATTCGACTTCGTTTTCTTTGTAAACTTTTCAGATCATCAATCTTCTGAACGACCTGTACTCTTGTTTCGACGGGATCATCGGAAACTACGACGTCTATAAGGTAGCGTGGCTACGATAGTGGCCAACACGACATGATTTGAAAATGTTCGTTTTTAAGCACAAGAGGGCTATTCCAAAAAATGCTGTTTTGAGAAAATCGAAGGTAAAGTTTTTGCCCATTGGTCAGTTTCTTTAAAAGACAGGGAGAGTTTTCTCTATAACCAAACAAATATACAATGAAACCAAACTTCTCCCATAGGTTGGGCAAAGTCCACTTTTGGTGCAGTTCAAGATTTCTGGAACCCCCGAAATCTGGGTTAGCCCACTTGTCCTTAAAAGCGACCAAATGTTGTTGAAATTGTACATGTTTTTATGCCCCTGTCGACACAGTTTGTACCAATAAGCAGATTATTTGCTTTGACCCTGTCTGACAGTATCACTTCAGATTGAGAGGTATACACAATCCCAGCAGATAATGCAGCTGTATACATTATGTGTGATTATATATATGTGTGTGTGTGTGTGTGTGTGTGTGTGTGTGTGTGTACGTGTGTGTGTGTG